ATTTATTGAAGGACCATGCTACATTTACACCAGAAATTGTACCCCATTTGTACACCGCAGTTATATACAAACATTTTGATGGTTTACACCGACACAAATGTTGGTGCGTTAACAAAAGTTTACACAGACACAAAATGTTAGTGCGTTAACAAAAAGAAAAATGTTAGGAGTATACCAAAGGTATACCCATTTGTCTCCCACCACCTCCTTGTCCATATAAAAAAGGCAAGAAAGTCAAAAAAAAAATAAATTAAAAAAAAATGGATGGTGGAGAAGGGGATGATGTACATTTGGAATACACCTTCGGTATACCCTTGGTATTGCTCTAATAAAAACTAGTTTTACTTGGGTACTTAGTAAACTCCATATCCAAAAGGGGCCCATGTGATGGGAAGAGGGGAACGCCCCATTGAAATTAGGGAGTACATCAGACGGCGAAAGCGCGAGGGAGGGAGTGAGTGATCTATGGAAGCTCTGAAGTCTCAGCTGCGGATTCTTCTGCTTTGTTTGCTAACATTTTCCGGTCTTTTCGTTAGTAATACCCTCTCCGAGGGAGTCACTCCCAAGGAAGCTAAAGAGCTCCGAGATGAGGTACTTTAGTTCTCCATCTATTTCACTCCCCTATACGAACTTTTCTTGAAGGTCAATTCACCCCTAATATTTTGCAGCTGCAATTCAAATGAATTTATCAATTTTCTTTAGTTTAGTCCCCTGTTTAGGCTTGATCTTTGAAGATGACCTAATCACCACACGAGTTCAATCATTTTTCCTGAATTTCAAAACCTTGCCCATTCTTTCAAAGCGGCGAATTCAGCCATGTATTTTCATCAACATTCTAGCCAAATTTTAACCAGTAGCACGCCAGGATGGGTCCAGATCAGAGACATTCAAACACTGTTTGTGTTTGAAATTGTTAAATTAAAGATGCCATGTTGACAAGACTCACTTTTGATCGTGATTAAAATTTGGCTATAATCCTGATAATATTTGAAGTCCATAGCTCAACTAACAAATCTAACAATGGAAATGGGTTGGCTAGATTCATAAATTTTCTTAGAGATATGACTTGTAATTTGTAGTGGTTAGGCCAAGGAAGGATGATATTTGGAAGGTTGGGTAAGTCATTACCATGTTTGCTGATCCATCTGTCTTGGGAAAGTTCGAGTCAAATTTCTTCATTTCTTGAAACTAGGGAAAACTTTCTAACCCATTTAGCTGGTTTTTTTGTCCCAAGGATATAATCTGTTGTTTTCACCTTATTTTTAAATGGAGTCAGGTCCAGAGTACGGGGTTCGCTGGAATATAAAGTTGAAAAAAGCATGCTCTTTCACTTTCCTAGAATTTACCTTCCCAGTAGTGTAACGTGATTCATAGGCTGTGGAGTATTTGAGAAACTTTGAGCAACATCTATTTATGTAAAAAAGTCATTTATGACATTGCCTATTTCTTATTTTCCTTATGTATTTGGGGTACCTAAGCAATAGAAAATTCTAAAAAGAGGCTGGTGCTGTTCCAACTGAAAGACCTTGTTTGTCTTTTAGGTACGGGAAATGTTTTATCATGCTTTTAATGGGTATATGGAGCATGCTTTTCCACGTGATGAGTTAAAGCCTTTATCATGTGAGGGTGAAGATACACTTGGTGGCTATGCCTTGACAATGGTAAGGGAACTACTCTGGTTAGTATAATTTATCAGCAAACCCATGCATACAATCTCGGTGGAGTCATATCTAATGTAGCTATTATATGCACCGCTCCAGATTGACTCATTGGACACATTAGCTTTACTTGGCGATCAAGAGCGCTTCACTACTTCTGTTGAATGGATTGGTAAAAATCTTCGGTTTGATATTGTGAGTATGTACATTGATAAAAATGATCTTCTAGTTTGTAGCTTGTTGATAAAAATCAAATCGATAAACAACTCTTTTGGGAATGATTAAAATTTCCCTGATCTAGGGATTTCCAATTTCAAAGATAATGATGAAATATGGGGTTTCTGGTCTTATGAACCTATATTGATGGTGTCTTCCTCTGTGTATGAAACTATGGCTACTAGCACGCCACAAGTGGTGGCCTGTTCCCATATGCGCAGTGGCAGATCTAGGAAATCAAGTGACCAGGGGTAAAAGTGTAAGAGTACGCAGTACGCTACAGGGTTGCCCCCGGTTTTTTCAAAAGGCAATATGAAATGCCCAAAAAAGTACTCCCTCTGTCCCACTACTTTTGTCCCATTTTGCTTTTTTGGTCCGTCTCACTATTTTTATCCCATTCCATATTTAGTCATATTTTTGTGGCTCACAATCAGTTTAACTTTATCTTACGTTTTAACATCAATATCAACCACACAAACTTACTTTTCTTAATTTTCATGCCACTACCCCATGTTTGAAAAATAGTGGGACGGCTGGGACGGAGAGAGTAATAAATTTAATCTCAAACAAGCATTCAAGTAATTAAAATGACAAACTCTCAAACAGTATAATTTTAGTTTCATATTCTATGATTTTAAGGCATGTTGGTTAGACTTAGACATCATTTACAAAACTCAATGCACCTGACTAAATCTAGTTATTAGTATTTCATTCAAAAGCTATCTTTTAGGTAACAATAATTCTATAATTGAGATGAAATATCCGCATAAAGATCGAAGTGAATGGACTATTTTTTTTAAGGGCGGCTAGTTTATTTGGTTTAACTTTCATTTTGTATTCTACCTCCATCTCAAAATGCATTTTACATTTTCTTTTTTTGGATGTCCCAAATTGAAATGTTCACTTTTTCCACTTTCCCTTTTAAGAAATGAATATGCCTCTCTTCAAAAAAAAAAAAAATTCAACCACACACCATTTAGTTTTCACCAAACATGTTTATCTTTTTAACACTTTTCTTAAACTCCGTGAAGCAAAAGCTTAAACTTCATTTTGGGACAAGGGGGAGTAGTTTTTTGTCGATTATATCAATGTTGTAATCTATCAAAGGGTTCTTGAGTGACTTGAGGAGTTGATCAAGTTGTGTTCACAATGATGCACCCTCCCACCACCAACGATTAAAATTGTGACTGATGCATGTATTTACATGGCAATGACAGAACAAGACTGTTTCAGTTTTTGAGACTACAATTAGGGTTCTAGGAGGCCTGCTTTCTGCTCATCTCATTGCAAGCGATTATAATACGGTACTATTTATTATGAATAAACTGCCAACCAGCTGTTTATGTAGTTTTCTCATATTTTTCCTGGCAATTTTAGTTTTACAAGGTTTTAACATGCCTTGATATGATAGGGTTTGATACTTCATACTTCCGTAGTTCTGCGAAAATATTTAACTTGTCTGGTATTATAATTGCAGGGAATGAAGGTTCCCTCATATGATGATGAATTGCTTTATTTGGCTAGGGATCTAGCGCAAAGAATGTTGCCTGCATTTGATACTCCTACAGGTCTCATGCCCGTGGTTTGACAGCCATTTTAATATACTGCTCAATCATAACTACTAGAAGTGCCCTTATCTACCTCTGTCATTTCCAATTTTATTTTCTAATTTGATATTTATGTGTTCTATTTTAGTTTCCACCACTACCATCACCACCATCATTATGAGCACCATAATCCCAACTAGTAAGGGCTGGTGGCATTAAATGTATAGTGCCAGTTAATTGTATAAAATTAATTAACGCAATAATGCTACCAGTTTATAAAAAAGCACGGTGGCAACATTTTATGCCGAATGCCCTTCCCGTCGCAACCTTTATACGAAGGAACAATGAGGTGAAAATTCCAAAACCATTACCATCATGGTGTCATAGATTGTTTCCACATGTATGGAAAAATAATGAGACAACACGTAATTGAGATGTTTGCATGGATATGGTAATGTATTGTCACTTCAAAACTCAAAAGCATGATTGATATTGCGTGGCCAACTATTCTTCACTACACAAAAGTGCTTCTTAACATGTCCTATCCCAAGAAACAAATCAATTGTCAATTTTTAGTATTTTAGAGGTTCAATTTTCCTTATTTTTAAAAAAGGAAATAGGACCTTCAATAAACATTGAAGAAGTAAAAAGCTAATTTAACTGTTCCAGTATACACAAAACAGTGAGCACTTATATATAGAGATACGTGTAGTCTCTAAAGTCCAAACCTGCCATATAATGATATTCCTGGGACCATGGAAGTATACTATGTCTTAGAATTATGCCCCCCGTAACAGCTGATTTGACTGTAATTATTTTGATGCAGGAATACCATTTGGATCTGTAAACTTGTTGCATGGAGTAGATGATAATGAAAACAAGGTGTTATTATCCTCTCCTTTATATGTTTTTGATTTGTTTGCCTTAAACTCATTTACAATGATTAGATTAGCGCTAATGGAGTAATGGAGAATTTTGTGGAGGCGAATCTTCATGTTGCCTTGTCTTTAAGCAACCTCTGGAGGGGGGGGGCGCTCACTTATTTTTTATTATACATTTCAAAGTGAAACGTCATACCCACCCATGGTTTACAAGGACCATGTAGACATGTACTCTTATGCTTTTCAATTTTTGTATAGTGATTAGTGTTTTAGGTATGTTTGGTGGTGTATTATTTTGAAGGTCTTACAAGGCTTTTTTTGTGTAGATAATGATCTAAGCAACCAGTCTAATTAAACAATGGTCAACAAAGGGCCAAAACACACAAAAGCACGAGTTATTGACGCCTTCTAGATGACATGTTAAGAGGGAAGTGATGCACGGGAGACCACTCCATATTAGAAACCTTAAATCTAGAGTCAAGTGTTGTGCATATAAATTGTACTCCTTTTTCCCTTTATTACGTATCATGTTTGATCTCACATGAGATTTTAGAACACAAATTGTGTGGTTGAGATTTATTTTATTCGGTTGGGTTATTTTGACACCAACCATTGGTGTCATATCATGACAAACTCGGCCAAACTGGGGACCCTACGGTGCTCTGTTAGAAAAATTAGCGGTTCCAACCCTTTAACCCCTTGACTTGTCCCCCCCCCCCCTCCTTTTCGCTCTACCCCCCTCCTGTCCACCAATTGGAGGGGGGGGGGGTGGCTAGGGTGGAAGGTGGCCTGGGGTGTAAGAAGAACTAATGTTTCAAATGGAGCACCGTAGGGGCTTCAATTTGGCCGAGTGTCATAGTATTACACCCAACCTTGGTGTCAAAATAACCTTTCAGTTATTTTAAAGCGAGAACAATAATGTGAATCAAATCATGCTTTCCTTAAACTAATAAACTGGAATGTGAGACAATTTTGGACAGACAAAATAAATAGTGAGAAGATAATTTAGAACAGAGGTAGTAACTACCTGACATTTTATTTATTTTTTCTATTCTATGCATGTGTTTTGCTCCCTGGGTTGAGCTTTGTGCGGAAGTGTGTGTGTGTCCGTCCTAAAATTAGATTCTTTTGGAGTGTAGGTAACGTCTACAGCTGGTGGTGGAACTCTTGTATTGGAATTTGGTGTGCTTAGCCGCTTAACAAACAATCCTGGTAAGTACATCTTGAATGCAATTATATCCTAACATTTTGATATCGAATTTATGATTTTAGAATTTAGATACCCGGGCCCCAATGTCAAAGCACAGTGTATCATGAATATATCACATGATATTAGTTGAACATTTGATTTCTGGTCCGATATTTTATTAAATATGTAAGCTTATTGATACAAAGTTTTTTAAGAGGAAAATAGTGACATTGTTTGAATAATTATACTATGTACTAATGTACTAAAACGTAAAGGACCTTGTCCTCTAAAAAAGAAGACCTTGGAGGTCAAGATTGTTATTCTCGTGATTCCTGGCTAGAAGGTTAATGATATCAATACGCATGTGATTCAGAGTAGCATTATGAGGAGAATAATCAGCACTGACAATGCTTCCATGCATAAGTCCTGTAAGGTAACAAACCCTGGAGTTAGAAAACTTGAAATAATGGTATTAAGTGCCACTATAATGATGATGCTTATGGATTACAATCTAAATGTAGCGTCAAGAACCAATTGTATTCAATGTAATGAATAAATACTACGAAGTATCCTTTTTGTACCTTCATGTTTTAAATGTCTAAAAGAACTAAGGTTATTTATGATGCATCTAACATGACAAGGTTTTTCCAAAGAGTCAAATTGACTGTTAAAATTGTTTGTTTCAGACTTTCAGTGTTGCAAAGTGAACACATTGTGTTTGCCCCCATCCTCTCAATTACTCTTTTTCTCTATAATCCGTGCCTCAAAATTATTTTGAAGTTTTTCTAACACCTTTCCTAATGCACCTCCAGTTTTTGAACAAGTTGCAAAGAATGCAATTCGAGGGATATGGGCTCGCCGGTCCAAGATTAATTTGGTTGGTGCACATATTGATGTTTTTACTGGCGAATGGACACAAAAGGTCTTATTTCCTTATGCTAACCACCTTTTCAGTATGTTTTTTTAAAACCTTTTCAGTACTTTCCACTTCTGCAATTATTATAATAGAAAAATATGGTTATACTTGTTCCATGACATCGCTTCCATAAAGTTTTTTATATATGAGAGTGATTATTCAGTAATTGGGACCTCTGGCATGGATAAATGCTGTGTCCAAAAGGTCTTATTTTCTCACGCTTACCACCTTTTCAGATTTAAAAAAAACCATTCAGTGCTTTCCACTTCTGCAATTATTATAATAGAAAAATATGGTTATATATTTTCCGTGACATCTCTTCCATAAAGTTCCTTATATATGAGAGTAATAATTGATTATTCAGCAATTGAAACCTATGGCATGATACATACTGTGCGAGAGATTACACTCTCAAGGGAAGGGATGTTTGCGGCACAATATTTCGTTCCATTGCCATGTCAGGGGTGATTTATTCTCTTTTGATTAATCATGTACTCAAACTACTCATAGCCCTTTCCGGAAAATGCTACGACGCTTGTGAATGAACTGAAGCAAATAATGGTGAATCTCATGGGTGAACAAGGCCACACACCTCCATTGACTCGTGTAAATTCGATCAAGTTTGAGCAATGCTTAACCAAGTTGGTTGATGATCCAAACAAGCACATGGAAGAAGATTATCATAACAGTTAAGGGAGTTTAGGGTTCCAACAATATCCAAAACAAAGAAAAGTTTAGGATCTCAATAAAATCTCAGCCAAATCACAATTAGTGCACTTTCATTCCCTTTTATAATTAAACATGTGATGTGTTCATCATATATCATTTGATTTTGTTGGTGAAGCAATGACCAAACTAAAACATTCACATCATCTGCTTAAAATATACAGGAAAACATAGCTCCAAGAAGCATGCTGGATGACAGAAGTACACTAACACAATCACAGTATTCTATTTGAAATTTGGCAAAGATGATTGCTTGATATTGCTATATTATTGGGAACTGAATTTTCCAAACAATCCCACTCTGAGCCAAGAGAAAGTCAGTTTTGTGGTTTTGGATATGGCAAAAGAAACAAAGATTTTGTATTACCATTTACCAAGTGATTCAAGATGATCTCCAAATGTTGACGCTGAGCTTCTAAGAAATTTTGCTCACGCTTTTGTACCACTCTGGCGGTGACACAGTCAGCATAATTCATAACATCAATTTGTTGGACAAACCTTAGACAATGATTATCCTTTGAACCTTGATAGTTCTATCAATTCTTATTCCTGGTAATTTATAGCCTTCCGTTCTCCAACACCTATAATTCAAAAACCTTTTCTTTAAATTGGCAGAAGATGTAGATGTCAAACTGACGGTTCATGAGCAGCCAATGGCTGAGATTTTGATCCAAAACTTCTTGCAGAAAGAAGTCACTCAAAGTTGATGCTCAAGGTTCTAGGTGCATCAATTGCTGCTCTCAGGAAATGAGCAGAGGACTCCCACAATTGGCGGCTTTAGAATTTAGATCAATACACTTTTTTGCTTCTAATTATGTTGCCCCAGCTGTCAGCACAAAATGGGTTATACTCGTGTTTGATGTCTCACAACAGTGGCACCACTGTAATGATACATAGTCAGGAAAGAGTTACACGCACAACCCAGGGAATGTTTCCGACACATTACATCTGGCTCTGTTGCCAATATCATGAAAAATCCTCTTTTGTAAAATCTTAAATTCAAAACCTTAAAGAAGACTGACATGGATCTTGTGAATGATCTGAAGCAAACTATGCAACTCATGATTGAAAAAGGCCAGACACCTCTGACCCCACTTATGGTAATTCTGGCTATACTGGAGAAAGGTTTAACTACGTTGGTGGATGGTCAAGGTAAAATGGAATAAAGTCTACATAAAAGCTAATGGAGTATGTGGTGTCAATAAAACTCAAATGAAAGAAGTTCAGCCTTTAAATAAACATCCAAAAAAATCATTCACATTCGTTCCCTTCCCTTTACGTTTGAAGTCGTGATGTTTGCAACACATAATATGGTATTTGTGTGATCTGTGATGCCACAATTCTTTGACATTAAGACCATGGCAATTATTCTAGATTTGATTTCCAATTTATTGAAGGGTAGCACATGTAATTTTTTTTCTTCCATACCAAATTGTTGGATGTCTAGATGTTTTTAATGTTACTGGATATTTTTATAACTCTTGTTTATTAAGGCACCAAAGGGGGTTATATCTCAAGCAACACCTCTGTACTGGCTATTCATATTGTCTTGGTTGTTTCGCGGCTTTCTTTTTTCATGATTGCGATGTTAAGAACTAGCTACCTTTTTTGTAATGAGTAATATTTTTCTCCTGAGTTGGCATACCCTTGTAAATCTTACCTTGCTTTCATACTTTGTAGGAAGCTGGAATCGGTACAAGTGTAGACTCTTTCTATGAGTATCTTTTAAAGGTGATCTTGTTAAAGACAACTAATAAATTACCTGCCATTCCCCCATCCAATTGATGCACTCTTTAATTACGGATGATGTTTAATAATCAGCCTAGATGGGTGCTCTGGAGTCCGTTAACTAGGGTCCTATGCATCTTGAGCTGGAATTTTAATGGTTATTCCTCTTTTTTAGTATTTTTTGTAGAATCACTAGACTTAAGCTAGTATATATAATGTAAATGATTTTTTTTTTATCAGGTGTTTTTATGGTAGGTCACCGACTAGATGTCTTAGACTCTTAGGCACTAGGCAAGATTTCTGTAACCAATAACATGTACTATGAATCACAAGTTTGATCATTGTAGTTTTTGAAAATGGAATTTATTTGTGAAACAATGATACCTGCCTAGCACATAGGTTGTGTAAAGTGTCTATGAAATGAAGTAGGAGTTTGTTGATTGTTTGCTGTTGTGAAGGAAGCTGATGTAGCATGTGAATATGTGAGGAAGACATTGACTTCTTAAACTAACTTTAATTCAAAATTTAGGAGGTATTGTTGATCTCTCTTCTAACTCCATCATAAGCTAATCGTTTATTTATTTTTTTAAAATTTTATACACAACAATCTATCTCTTAGACGAACACAGGATCATTACAACACAATAGTAGTATGAAACTCAAATACGTAATCGTGAAAACCATGTTTGATCAACGACGTTGGGTAAACTAGGCACTTAGGGCATCGTTTTCCAGTATAGATGAATTTCTAGAATTAGGCATTTTAAGGTAGGTCACCTAGACACCTACTAGACCTCTTAGGCGCTAGGCACGATTTCTGTAAAAGATATCATGGACTTCAAAAATTATAAGTTTTGTCGTAGTAATTTTGTTACATAGCCTTTTTTGTCAATGAAAATTACTACATGCTCGGGGCATAGATTGTGTGGATTTATGACTTGAAGGAGGAGGGCAGATGTTTGCCACGGAAGGAGGCTGACTGCATCATGTGAATATTTGAGGAATGTACACATTTGTAGATTAATTTTAATGCAAAAGTAGGAGATATATATTCTTCTGTAGCTCCCTCGCAAACTAAGTGAGCAATTTTATGATGTTTTATACTCAACGATCCATTGCTTAAATAGAGATAGTTTCGATTACAATATCATAAAAGTAAATGATCGTGATATCTACTACATGCGAAACACACTATATTATGCCATTACACCCATGACTAATTAAAAACAAGACCAATTATGGTCTTTGAAGTTCCGCCCCCAAATCAAAATTTGAAGTCAATGATAAAGCTATTTCTCATTTGGGGAGGAACATATCAATACTTTCCTCTAGATAGACACTTAGGCCCTGTTCTTTTGGGTTTGAATTTCAGAGTTGGATGATGGAAGAAGTTAGAAGTTGGAAGAAACTGGAAGGAGTTTGAAAAAACTAGGAGTTGGAGAGTGTTCGAAGAATTAAAGTGTTAAAAAGTCACTCAAATAAATGATCACCCAAATACATATGTAAGAAAACTCTTATTTTGGATAAGAAAGAATCATCCTTGTCCGTGTTTGAGGTGGTTTATTATAAATTCGGATATATAATCTTATTGTATATTCATCATATATAAATACCCTTTTTAAGTCCTTATTGGAAGAAACTGGAAGAGGTTGGAAAAAGTTTGAAGTTAATTTTTATAACCCAAAAGAACAAGGCCTTATCCTCAAGTGTGAAGCGTGATGTCAATTTGCTCTTGTCATCTCAGGTGGTGTCTTGTGCTTATGAACCTTCACATAACAGTATAATTTCCTTGCTTCCCCAGTTTTGGTGGCAATGTAAGACGTTGTTTGACTACCACATACTGTCGGTTATCATAGCGTGTCTTGGCCTCTAGGGAAGTCTAGGGACCTTGAAAGCAATTAGCCTGCCGGTTACCACATAGTGACACATGGGGTCACATCAATGGTGTTTCGGTTGCAGAAGATTTTTTCACATTCATAGTGAGTTTTCCATCATCTCCGATGGAGTCAAAATTTTACCATTTTTGGCTTTGGGGTGTGATGGAATAAATCAAAATGGATCTCTAAACTATATGCGCTTCTTTAATTAATGAAGTAGCAGTTAGTCAAACACTGCAACTTTCGATGTTGAGCCGGGGGTCTCTTTGGAAACAGCCTCTCTACTTTCGAGTAGGGGTAAGGTCTGCGTACACACACCCTCCCCAGACCCTACTCTTGTGGGATTTAACTGGGTTGTTGTTGTTGTTGTTGTATAGTGAGTTGTCCCTACCGCTGAATATTGTGAACTCCATGATGAGGCTTAATGGCGGGAGGGGGGGGAGCAGTCAATATGTGGACTGGCTGGTTTTGGCAGATTATGCATTGTTGTTGCATGTCATGCATGGCTGCAACTCTAGTATCGAGTTCTTGCATGCAACAGTTCATGGAAAAAATCTTGACTCCAGTTTTGACCTTCTTTACCTAAACCATTTTACTTTTTTGTTATTTCTTTCACATCTTATCACTCTATATCCTATGGTCTTCGTTAAAATAAAAAAAAGAAGAGATGCAGTTTGCGGCATTATATTTTTGGTAACTTTAGACGATCCAAACAGGGCGTCATTTTTCCTCTAATTAAAGTGAGTGCTCCTAAGAATGTCAGCATTTGATGTTTATAACAAACCCTGTAACATCAAGTTTCCTTCATGTCACTAAATCTCCAAAGATAAATCACTGTCCATTGTTATATGGAGAACATTATTTATGTTACTGAGTTACTCCCTCCGTCCCATAACATGTGTCCATAATCGCAAAGGTACAGATTTTTAATTTTACTAAGCAACAAAGAAATAATCTAATATACCTATATTTTTAAAACTAAATGTTGGTTCAACTTAATTTAATGCACTCAACTTATTTGTGATCCTTATTATTATTATTATTGTTGTTGTTGTTATTATTGTTGTTAATATTATTATTATTATTATCATTATGATTATAAAACATTAAAATGAGGAAAACTAGCTTTTTTTCTTTTCAAATCAAACTCTTTTTGGGACAAAATAACTTCAGAAACAGGACTCTTTTGTTGGATGAAGGGAGTACTATGGAACAGAAACACTGCAAGTTATGGAACTTCTGGTCCCATATACTGCCTCTGTGACTCTGTCCCGAAATATACTTCACACTTTCCTTTTTCCTATCAAGGAATATGGAATAAAACATGTGGCTCACAAGTTTTCTCTCTCCTCTAATCAAATTTCACTTACAAACCTTTTACTTTTTAATCCTTTTCTTAAACTTCGTGAGGTCAAACCAATAAGTTTATTTTGGACGGAGGGAGTATTATATAAGCTACTGTCTTCTATTTTCATTGTATTTTTTGCCACGAACTAGTAAACTGCTAATCTTCAATCCAAAAATTCTTGTCCGGTTTGTGAAGGTGCATTCATTTGGTTCCTTAACCTAACATATTATTCTTATTGACTTTTAGGCTCATCTATTATTTGGAGACAAAGAGTATCTATTCATATTCCAGGAAGCATACAGAGCAGTAATGACCTATCTATATAGTGACCCCTGGTACAAATTGAGCAGTTGAGCTTATGAGGTTTAAGCTCAATTATACTTTGTGAATTGCTAGTTGTAGAAGGGCGGGCTCTGTAAAGAATGATTTGTTCCTGCACATTATAGTGACCACCATTCTAGAAAACTTCCTAATTCTTTTTTTTAACATAGCTTGTTTAGCAATTGAAGCTATAATACATAATTTTCTCTTCACCCTTCTAGGTATGTTGAAGTAAATATGAATTCTGCTGCTCTTGTATGGCCATTATTTAACAGCCTGCAGGCGTTCTGGCCAGGCCTTCAGGTAATTGTACTATGATTGCTTTCTCTTGCCCAAACAATATATTGTCTATTAGAAGTCCTAGATATTGATAGTGATNACTGTCCTTTTAGGTTATCAATGAAGGGGGTGGTTGCAACTAGGGGATATAACTGGAGTCTTAGCTTGTTCTTGGGAACTGGAGGCTTGGAGGACTTGAAGTGAAGATTACTGAGTTACTCATGATGGGTTTACTTGGATGGCATTTGTGTCTATGCGAAATCCTTCAAGTGGGAGATTGTTGGGTTATTTGGTGAAGGCTTTAGAGCTTTGGGCTTTAAGCCCGGTCGGTTAAAGGGAAGAAATATGGGGGGCCGGTTTTAGTTATTAATTAAAGGGCCCATTAGTTGTTTCTTGTTTAGCAAGTTGTTAACCCTAATTTATATCTTATAAATACCCAATCATGTAACTATAATCTGTGAGCACCTAGTAAAAGATAAACCCTAGTTGCAACCCGTGGAGTAGGTTACTGACCGAACCACGTTAAATCTCGTGTTCTTATTTTCTGCTATTTGTGTGTGTGTGTGTGTGTTTGTTCGCTTCCGCTTGATCGCCTCTGATCTCTGATTCCTAACAGGGCACACAATCAGATTAATCAAGTTTGTCATCCTGACACACACACACATACTTTGTATATATAGACATCCAATCTTGATCTTACGGTTATAAGTAAACATCAACCCTAGTTTCCTCTGCCGGTAACAACCACAGACGGCCCCTGCCCTCTGTCACCGCAACCACCGCCGGTCTCCATTTCCGTCATGAACCACCAACGCTCCCATTCAATCTTAGCCATTATATCAAGATTCGGTGGTTTGGATTGAGAGTGCTCAGCTAATGTTGTCACTCATCTAAAGGATGATTTTCACCCAAACCCTCCTATATATATATATATAATATATATATACACACACACACATATATATATATATATAATATAATATATATGTATATATATATATGTATATGTGTATATATATATATATGTATAGATATGTATATAATGATATATATATATATATGTATGTATATATATGTGTGTGTGTGTGTGCTGTGTGTGCGTGCGTGTATGTATGCATATACAGAGTATAATGTTTTGGTTTGTACTGAGTAGTGTTATTGATATTTCAGACCATGAACTTGCATTTGTTTTGTGGGAAATAGCACCTATAGATTGGAAGATAGCATGCCCTTCACTTGCACAATTGATTCTTGAACACTCAAGGTCTTTTACAGTACCAAGGACCTTTTGGAGTCCAGACTACTTAATGCCTTTGGTCTACAACACTCTTCAGTTACCCAAGAACTTGAAAGGGTGAATATATATTTGTTATGGATTTTAATACCCCTCAAGCTGGGGACATTGAGTTTTCCGTTCGAACACCTGCTACCTTCTTTAGGTTTAGGAAAAATGTGGGTTTTTACTCAAACTTCTATTTTCTGCTTTGCTCTTATGATCTCTAGGTACATCATTCGACACACAGTTAGATTAATCTAATTGTCACACTGGTTATTACTGAGTATTTTCTATTTTTTAGGATACTCATGCAGTCATGAGTAACACGAGTTTTATTGATATTTTATTACTTGAGCTTACACCCTTCATGGAAACATAACACATAAACTTGTTAGATTATAAGAAACATTTCTTGGGCCACAACCACAAGCTTGAGCTTTTGGTTGAGTTGGTTCCTTGACATGGTAATATGGTACCAGAGCTTTGTTGACTAAGAGGTCACGGTTTCGAAACTCAGCGCCACCCAATTTTAAAAATATTAAGGTTTCCTGTGCAAGGTTCAAAAAAGCCTACGCCTGCACCGCTGCACGTGAGGGGACGTGTTAGAATATAAGAAACATTTCTTCGGCCACAACCACAAGCTTGAGCTTTTGGTTGAGTTGGTTCCTTGACAAAACTAAAGGGGTATCTGGCAATGAGATGATTGAAGTTTTTTTTTGGGGGGGGGGGGGTCAAAAAAGTCTTTTGAGGCATCAGATTTGGGGTCAAACGATTAGCTTGAATATTTGTGCTATTAAAAGTAGGAACTTAATTGGACGATAGAGTATGCTTATATCTATGGGCTTCATTTCTTGTATATGTTGATACCTTTTCTACAATTTTATCTTGCAGTTTTCTTGATACAGTGACTTGTTATTGTTTGTCTCAGCCAGGTCAGAAAAGTTACCCTTTGCGTCCAGAATTAATTGAGAGCACATATTGGCTTTTTAAAGCTACCAGGGATCCTAGGTTGGTATCATGTGTGTTAAAGTCTCTTTTCCTTATTTACAAGAGGAAAACGTTCTCCCCTTATGCAGGGGCAGGCACTGAACTCCTCTTATAAATGTTACTGTAAGATGCACTTTTAAGTTCTTTCACTTGTTTTAAAATTAGGCGGTTACTCCGTATAATTCATGCAATAATATATGGTCACAATTAGAACTCAAAAAGTTCAATTTTTCTTTTAATGATGGCTCAACTTTGCAATTAACATCTTGATGTTCTTCTAAATTCTGATGTGAAACCTTAGTATTCAACCCCTTGATGTAGATATCTTGATGTGGGAAGGGACATACTTACAAGCTTGCAGTATGGTGCACGATGCACTTGTGGATATTGTCATATATCAGATGTTGAGTTTCACAAACAAGAAGATCGTATGGAGAGTTTTTTCTTAGCAGAAACGGTAGGAAGTTCACTTTCATATTTAATCAGACTTTAAATCTTGGATTTCTTTTTTCACTTCAAGTTACAAGTTACATGCTGCTTAAAAAAATGCTGTAATTTCTCTTTGTAATTTGCCTTTCAAATTTTAGCAAGACCTCTTGAAGTAAACTTGGATAATGGAACTAAAACAAAAGGACATGAACAGGAAACAGTTGAGTGATCTCATAAAATGACTAATGCATAGAACTCTGAAGTTTCTAAAAATGTATTTGGGGTCTCATTTTTGAGTTCTTTCGTTTGATGTTATTGCGTTGTTGCTTTCATTATTTCAGCATCCTTCGTTCCTTAAATTCTGAAAACTTTGCAGGTGAAATATTTGTGGCTTCTTTTTGATTTGGCTGCTGGTCCAGATAACATAGTTGAAAATGGCCCATACAAGTAACTTGCTACATATTTTCGTTGTATTTGTTATAATATCCTTTCACAGTCTTACACTTCTTTCTCCAGTAAAGCTTAACTGCCCTCACTCATTGTACATTTGGGGAATTGTTTTTGCTTTTGAAGGTACATCTTCAGCACTGAAGGTCACTTATTGCCTGCAAGTCCTCAAATATCTCTTGTACATGAGCATTGTTCATACCTGGGCGCATACTGTAGAAACAACGATTTTGAACAAAAAATGCACACTTCACCCATTGCAGAAACCAATTCCACTGGAACCCACTTTGGTTCCACTCCTCCCAGCTTCTTTTTAGACCGCATTTATAAAAAATCTCCAAATATGTTGGGCTTGGCTAAGGTCAGAAACTCATTTCAATACATTTTTTTAATATTCCTTCTATTTGTGCCTTTTCCCACTTTTTCTTAGGAAAATGTCATCATCAAACAAATTCCTTTATTTTTTTACTATTTTACAAGAATCATAGACTAGACTCTCCCAATATTTTCAAAGATCTCCAATGAGCGTGCTTCCTTATTAGCAATAATCACCTTTCGCGCCTTTCCAACGTCTCTCACTTTAGCAATAAGTATCATGAGCATACTTTTGAATACACTCCAAAGCTAAGTTCACATGCAGTATCATATACTCCGGATTACTCCCTCCATCCTGAAATCAACTTCCGTGTTTGATTTCACGGTGTTTAAGAGAAGTGTAGAAAAGTTAAAAGTGAGTGGTTAAAATTTACTTAGGAGAAAGAGATTGAGGGCCACGCGAGCCACATATCTCATTCCTAAATAGGAAGAATGAGAAGTGATATTTATTTAATTTAGGGACAACCAAAAAAGGAAACTGTGAAGTTTATTTTGGGACGGAGGGAGTATTGGTCTTACTTTTTAATTCTACACTTACTCCATAGAATTGATAACATGCATTATCTAAGAGGCAATATTTTGACTATCCAAGAAACCCCTTGTAAAGTTGTTGAAGAACCAGAAAACCAATACCAAATTACCAATGTTTTTGGTTAACCGGTAAAAACTGCAGAGTATATTGAAAGGTTTGTTGGAGAACCCGTAAACAAAAGCTCATATCGGCAAGTTTTTTTTAATGCGGTGCCTTTTATCAAAAAGAGGACCAATCTAGTGGATTACAAAATCTGGAGTCCTTGGGTAGAGGAGTTTGGAATTTTCAGATCTCTCCAAAATTGTGGTGCAATATACTTTAAATGGTCTTTCATAACTGTAATCTATATACACCATGTGCGATTCTTTTATGATTGGTATTCTTTGATTACTGAATCCACAAGTTTAGGCATATATTTTTACTCTTTATAATTTGCCCCTCTCAATCTCTCATGGTGAACTTTGCATTTCAGTAAGACCATAATGTTCTGAATCATTATTAAGAGGCAATGCAATATTGAATCATTATTTGAACTGCTCATTAGGATCTCTCTAGCCTCTTTATTTAAATTACAGCATATTTGAACTTTAAGTCTCCATACATGATGTTTCCTTTACAGGGACTCTGCCCGGGACTTGCTCATGGGCAAAGGTTTGGCATATCATATGTGACCTCTACAAGTCCAATTGTAAAGGAGAATGAGCATGCAAGCCAGAGGGAGAATCCTTCAACTCAGAGAGATTCATTGGTAATAGTGACTAACCCTAATGTTGGCGACTCCCAAACAGGTGCTCAAAATGATCAGGATAAGGAAACAATACCTACTGAGAGCCAAACAGAGTGTGCCTCTTCATGAAAAAGAAGGAAGATCGGGGGTAGCTAGCTGGTTAAACCTTTAGAAGAAGGCAGCACAAGGCCACTTCAGAAGGGAACTTAGCTTTCCAAAACTTGTAAGCACGGTGCCGATTATTCTGAGTAATAGAAGATACTTGTATCATTCAGCCTCCCAATATTAGATTGTAGAGCTGATTCTGCTATGGAACATCATTGGATTCAGAGGCTGAGAATAGGGTTTATGCTAGTCACGAGGAAAAACATGCCCCGCTTTATACAGGCCAAGACCCGATTCTTTTATTTCATTATTATATGAATTTTTGTACCACAGTGAGTTTAATATTCCTTACTTTAGGTGATTATTATAGATTGATTATGGGGTTATCTGATGTTCTAAGTTCTAACTCGAATACAGAGGAAGATGGATGATATATTCACACACATACTTGAGATTACAGAAGAAGAAGGCTTTGTTCAGTAGTTGTAATTTTGATGTGATGATCTAAAATCAAATACTTTGTGAGTCTGCTAGGTTTCCATCTTGCTGGAACAGAATATATCTCATCCATTCAAATTTCAAATTCTTCTATATATTTGAAAATTATTCTCAATATACGTGCATTTCGACGACCGTTGAGGTAAACCTTGAGGAATCTCTTCATTGGATATTACAGGGATTGAATTTTATTGATAATCTGAGAGTAGTTTTAGATATATGTGATGTTAGTTAGTCTTTCTATATGCTAAGTAGGTGCAGAGAAATGGATTAAAAGTTCATCTTGATCGGTCTTGTGACACATTTCGGCGCAACTAAAGCCCTGTTCTTTTGGGTTGGAATTTCGGGATTGGATGTTGTAAGAAACTGGAAGTTGGAAGAAACTGAAAAAAGTTGAGAAAAATTTGGAGTTGAAAAATGTTGGGAGAATTTAAGTGTTACTACTTCCGTCCTTAAATTTTCTTGTTTTGACTTTTTGTAATTTTTAAGAAGAGTTGAAAAAAGGCAATGAGAAGATCTATGGTAGGTAAGATGTAATAAATAAAGTAATTGGGGGTAGTAGTTGTATTTTAATTGTTAAAAAAGGCAATGAGAAGATCTATGGTGGACAAATAAAAAGGGCCAATGAGAAGATCTATGGAATACGGAGGGAGTAAAAAATTACTCAATTAAATAGTCATTCAAATAAATATGTAAGAAAACTCTAATTTGGGATAAAAAAGAATTTATCCTTGTCGGTGTTTGAGGTCATATGTTAGAAATTCAGATATATAATGTTATTTTATATTAATTATATATAAATACCTTTTTAATGTATTGTTGGAAGAAACTGGAAAGAGTTGGAAAGAGGAGTTGGAAGTTAGTTTTTCGTGCTCAAAAGAAGAGGTCATAAGTCCACCAAACTTTTTTGCTGAAAGAACTTCACTCTAATGCATTTATAGAAAAGGACCATGCTAGGGTGCCACCACATAGGTGCTACCATGGGTGCACTCATGCTTCACACAGACGATAATTGTCTGTGCGACACAGACAATTATCGTCTGTGTTTGTCTGTGTGAAGCATGGATGCACCCATAGTAGCACCCATGTGGTGGCACCCAAGCATTTTCCTATAGAAAAATATTGATGCAACATTGCAACAGAGGGAATTATAAACTAATTAATTTAAGATTTTAAAATTTTAAAAATGGTACTAAGTAAAATTTATCTCGAGGACAATTTTTTAAATATTTTGTGACATTAAATCATTTTTATATTATTGAGATAATAATGACTCTACAAAAGTAATAATAATATATAAACATATACATAAATTTTTTTCTAAAATTATTATCAGAAGAAATTGAAAAGAATTGGAAGGAATTAGGAAGAGTTGAAAAAACTAGAAAAAATTAAAAGAAGCTGAATGAACTTGGAATAAATTGGAAAAAATAGGAGTTAGAAAATGACGAATAATAAGAATTGCTCGTAGAACTGAAATGAATAGAGCTTACATCGAAGTCTTTGCATCCTTTTTTTGTAATCTCTCCGTTCCAGCTCAAATTTGTGCTTATTACGAGTATTATTTGATCGAGCTTTAATTATTATTTTTGCTTGTTTTTTTCCTCATTCACCTCTTCACTCATAGAACCTTTAGTATAATTTTTAAATATTTTGTATATAATTTTTATTTCTTAATTTCCTAATTTTCAAATATAATAAAAATAATTTTAATGAAACGTCATAAACAACATCGAACTATTTAAATTGTGACCAAGGAAATTGTTAACCTTGACGTCTCACACCGTTAATTTCATGACCTGGGAACATGAATGGTCCGACCTAACAACATTAGTCGTCTTTATCATACTCAGGGAGTCGGGATTATTTTGTTATACTTCCTCCAAAAAAAAAGTTTTTCTATTTGCATAAAACTTTATGTGACCCATACTCCATCTCAAAATCAATTTTGCCTTCTAACTCCCAATATGTAATTAAAATTGGGATGGAGCTAGTATTATTTCTTGCACGGCGCTACTTTCAATGATATAATTTCAAATTAGGTGATGCTAAATCCACCCCTTATTCTACTAAATTTTTTTATATATATAAGAAATTGACAACTTTTTTGCCTTTTACTTCATTTTTTTCTGTTTTCTAAACAAAGGTAAATTTGTCGATTTAAAAAGCGGGTGAATATAGCCAAATGAAATGTGGATTTAGCAGCAACCTTTCAAATTTCTTAATAATAACTATGCTAATTCCATTGTGAAAACGTTTTGTGGAGGGAAAAAAGTAACTCTAAACCTTAAACTCATTGAAACAATTGAGCTCTTAATTTCTTTTAATCATTCCAACTTCTATTGGTTTCTTTTAATGCTTTCTAATTTCTTCCAACTAATTTCTTTACCTTTTTATATTTTTTTCAACTTTGTCTAACCTCTTCTAGTTTCAACGTCAAATTACATTTTTTAAAATATGTTTTTCAATAAATTGATTTGAAAATAAAATCAGTTAACAATTCTAAATCAACTTGAGTGTGAATAAATAAATGATTTGTAACTTTGATAATGTGATAATATCAAAAATGAATACATTAATTACTTTTATATGAAAATTATTCTTTGAAAAAATCAATAAAATGAAGTAATACATTTCTCATCAATGTTACTTTAAATAAAATTAACAAAAATTGTTTATTTTGCTCTCTATGTTTTTGCTGCGAGACAGGAATAGAGCTTGCCACAATGCCCTTTTGCACCCCCACCCCTTCTTGACCAGTTGAACAACAACACTGAGGTCATTTTGTTGTAATCTTATTGATGGTTGTCAAGCTTCCAATTTCTCCTCTTTGCACAAGGTCACACAAGTTTAGTTTTAGTGAGTGATATTTCAACATATACCCCTTTTTGCAACACCCATTTTTTATTTGCTTATTACTAATTATTCCCCTTAAAATAATCTTTTGGAATTAGATGTAGAACCAGAAGCCATATGTTTATTTATATATCATACAAATTAAACCTTTATCTCTCTCTCTAAGCATAGTACTGTTGATCTGTTGTTGAGAATAAGAAGCAATGTTCAGTGATCTCTGATATAGGGAAACTTATTAAAAGTATGTGCATAGAAAATTGTACACAATCTTTTCCTCAATCAGCAACAAAAACAAATAAATACATACAGATGAACAAAATAAGAAATTCTGTTACATTTGCTTCAAAAATTAAAGTAACACTCTATGTGTGTGTGTGTTGTGTTGTATTGCACTGCAAGAAATATCTATATTAAAAACTAACAAGAAAACACCACAGGATCATGAACCACCATGGTTCACCAGCTATAACTTGTATACATGAGAACCCAGATTTGCAGATTTTCACATTCTCACTATATATATATATATATATATATATATATATATATATATATATATATATATATATATATATATATATATATATTCTTCTCTTTAGATCAAAGACAAAATAATGATCACACATTTTGATATATTGTTTTACTCCATTTGAGGTGAGGTGTGCCATCAATGTTGTCAAACTCCACAACCCAATCCTCTTGCCTCTTTCCCTTTCATTATTCTTAGCCTTTTGCATGATGACAAGAACATTCTGCAATTGGCCATAACAAAACCCAAATTAATTAGCACACACACACACACACATAGATATAAGCTAAGGGTTTCATATGACTTTTTTTTCTTAGAAAAAGGGAATTTATATATTTGGGTTAGATGGGATGGAGAGAAGGAACTTACTCCCAAGGGACATCTCCAACAAGCATCAAATCACCATCTTTATCTTCATAAGCAGGGGCATACTCTGACCCTTTGTACCCTTCCCTCTCAGAGTAGTCACCTATGGTGAGTTTGAACATGTTCTCCAAACCCATTAATAGTTCTGCATATCCCTCAAGCATTTTCAGGTCAATTTTCCTAAGGTAAGGGGCCCCATCCATGCTCACTTTTACATACATTGCAGTTTCACCCTGTGATGCCTTCTTTGCCTGCTGATGCACACTGTTCTTCCTGTATGATCTCACTGGTGGCCATCCAACTATCTGTGCCCTGCACATTTTCCAAGTTTAATCTCATTAATTACTCAATCTTTTATTCTTCTTAGCTTCTTTTTTTTTTAAAAATTAAATGATTGGGTACTCAATGAAAAAAGGAAATGTGTATGCAACTTACTTGGAAACAGGTAATAGGGAGTGGGCATCGTCATAACCAGATCTTGATTCACAGTCTTCCCCTGCAGATGGTTCTGGTAAAGCTCTCTTGTTGTATTTCTTGGAACTTGAAACAATTTCTCTGTCTCCATCCTCTTCCCTGCCAGGCAACCCAAGTCTGAGCTCAGTAGCTCTGAGATTGAGATCTTGGTCGTCATCATGTGCCAGTTCCGCCATTTCCCACAAGACTAAATTGATGATTTCTTTGGCTTTTAAAGTGAAAGCTGCAAGTATTGGAGTGATTGAGAGAGAGAGAGAGGGGGAGAAAGAAAGAGAGTTGTGCCTTTTCCTTTCTTTCTGCAGAGCAATATATATGGGTTTGATGCAATGCAACTGGTGAAGGGTGTTATTATATGAAGGAGCAGATGTAATGTAATGGGCCATTTCTTCTACCCAAAAAAAACATTAAAAAAAACGAAGTTTTGAGACGACAGAGTGAAGGGAAAGTGGTCGGGAGAAGGAGGAGCATGATTGAGGAAAGTGGTAGGAGCATGCAATGTCAAGGGGGGGAGGGGGGACAAGAGTGGGACAAAGGCCAGCCGCCCTGATGGAAAAAAAAAATATGGCTGGTGAGAACACGCAATGTGTTTTGGAAGCAAATTCAATTCATGGAAAAGCATGACGATATGTGTGACGGCTAATAAGATTTGTTTTTTAGAATTTTTTTTAAATAGGACTAAAATATAATAGTTTTTTTTAATATAAGATCATATATGGTCATTAATTATTACTCATTATTCAAGTAAATTTCCACCATCACTTTGCTGACTTTGAGGCTGTTTGGGAGTGTATTGCTTTTAATCATTTAGCTTCTGCTTTGAGTAAAAGTGATTTTACTCTGTTTGGAATGTCAGCTTCTGCTTTTCACAACCACTATTTTGTACATAAAACACCGTTTCGGAGAAGCAGGTAGGTGATGCTTCTGCTTTCAACTTTTGTGGAATTCACTTTATACATAAGTTAATCACTCCCAAACACCCTCTTTCTTTCTCTATTTTTGTTAGTCATTTGAGACAATAATACAGTTTGTCACTACTACTTTTGTAGATCTTTTGATGTAATTTTTAAATATATAACTTTCATTTTTAATTATACACCGTTTTCATATAAGTGCTTCGAAAATAATTTGTGCCAAATATCGTAAACTGAAACAGACAATTTAAACCAGTGAATTATGTATGTCTCGTTTTAGATGTTATAAACCAGTGAATTGTATATCGATTTGAAGTTATTTGACACATTACAAACAAATGAATTTGGCAATGCTATAGATGTTTTAAGGCATTTGAAAGAACTCGATTATTTCCCAAATGCAAGCCATGCATATAAAATACTCCCTTTGTTTCTTAAAACTCTTCCTCTTTCATTTTTTTGTTTTTCTTAAAACACTTCCTTTTTCTATTAAAAAACTACTTTTATCTCTATTTTTTCATACCTTATCTATCACATCATATTTTTTTACTAATAATTAAACTATCACATCTTACTTTTACCCATCAAATCAGGAGCAAAATTGGAAAGTCAACTAAAATTACACTTTCTTTATTTTGCACCAAAGTCAAAACAAGAACCGTTTTAAGAAACGAAGGAGCAATATTGACTGTTTCAATAATAGTGGCATTTGCAGAAAGGAGATTTTCAAAATTGAATTTATTGAAATATTACTTACAATCCACAATATCGTTACAAAGACTTCGCGGATTGGTGATGATAGCTATCTGAAATAAAATCTTAGAAAATGTAGACTAAAATGTTAAAAGAACTTCTCGAGTCTGAATTTATGATATGTCATGATATTTATTCTCATTAAAAAAATTAATTTATTTATAATTTAGTTGGTTAGGGTTTAAGTGTTTGTTTTTATCTGGACCCTTAAATTAGAAGGCAGGGCTGGCAGGTCCTGTTGCCCTGAAGATTTTCATTTACTCGAAGATTTCAACAAACTCAACTATGTCCCACCTAAAAACTTTATATCGATCAGTCCATATGTTAGAAAAGTCAAATAAATAACCTTGTTAGTCAAAACTCACTTGTTATTGTCCCATCCTCACTCCAATCTACAAGTAGTATGTAGGCATCACATTGGAATCAATATCATGAGATGACCCAGAGTGCTCTGGTGTCTTATTCGTATAATTGACAACTGCTATTTTCTTAACCACTCCGGTAAATCCTCTACCCGCCCCAACTCGAACACACCCTCCACCCTCTTCAATTGCACTCGAAGTTAATTTTGATTTTGGAGTGTGGGGTATGTTCACGGTGGGGCGGGGTAGGGTGGGGGTGTGAGGGTCTACTGTGGGAGTTATTGGGGTAGGAACCGTCAATTTTACAAACGGTTCACCGGAGCACCGTCAATTTTACTTGTTGATATTTTGAAAAATAATTTATTTAAAAAATTGTTTTAAAATGTCATATAAGCCCTTACATTTCTATGAATAATATTTTATATCTGAGATATTTACCATAACTCATCAAAGTTTATGTATTCAATAGGTTCTCGACTTCAATGTCATTGGATGATCCAGGACACATACAGTGCTTCATTCGAAAAACTAATGAGTCTTACCTCCCGGTATAACCCTCACCCCAGTCCGACCTGAACTCATCCCTTATCCCCTCCAATTGCACCTCACAAAATTTAATTAACTTTGGAGTCAAATATTATAATAAATTTTCTTCTTTGAATAAACCCACCCGCCTAACCTCATCAGGTTCATCTCCAAATTTTGTTAACTTTGGAGTAAAATTGTTTTTTACCCCAAAGGGTAAAGTCAACAAAAATTTAGAGATGAAATTGAAAGGGTTAGGCGGTGGGTTCGGGCCAGGCCAAAGTATGAGGGTTTACCATGAGAAGAAACCTTCAATTTTAGACACTATATAGATGCTCTAATTGGAGTCGATGGTATTCGTTGACATTTAAAATGAGCGTCAACGGAATCAAGCCGTTCTTCATTTTGTTTGATTAAAAATTAACTTTTTCCTTCCCAATCGATCAAAATAAGTGGGAGAAACTGATAATAAATCAAGAGATAATCCGTGTTACTCTTATAGACAAGGAGTCTTTAAGAAAATCAAATCTTATAAATCAAAAATTGATGACTGGTAAGTGACAGAAATTGGTTAATTTATTATGAAGCGTTGATAAAGCTTTTTTGGAGTTAATTTTTAATTTTTGTTATAACCATACGATTTTAACAATAATACGAACTTACAAAGTATATTTTCTTGAGATTATATTTTAAATTTATTAATATAAGACATGCTCATTTTTCTAATTGGTCATGGACCCATATAATGTTATGTGTTGAATATGTGAGCCCTAGATTCTATGTTTATGTATTTGAACATTTATCAAGAATAAAAGGTCCTAAAAGTTATTCATGCATCTCGTGCTATACATAGCTTTAGTCAATAGATTTAGCGCTCTTGTAGCATATATTAGAACTACGATGTTTTGATTATGAGGCTGTTACATTTATAAAGGCTATGTCTAGAATATCTTTAGTCGAATATTATGATAATACGGACATCATAATATACTAAGACTAATATGTATGACACGAGTTCGTCGCATCTCATAGGCTATGAATATTGTGATATATCTCAATCTATACGTAGGTACATATATGGAGATATGGTACTGGAGTGACCCGCCATGAGAATACTACATCGGTATTATTTTAATGTGTTAGTAGTATTCTCGTTCGACCATTAGTATAACTATCCTTAGACTTGAAGTCATTACGATCTTTAATACTCCCTCCGTCCCAAAATATAAGCAACACTCCACTATTTAAAAATCCCGAGAACTTTTATTTATTTTTGCATTTTCATTGATTATTTGATAGAATAAAATATTCTTGTCACCACTTGTTTTGTAGAACTTTTGACGTAGTTTTTAAATATGTAAATTTTATTTTTCATTTGTAGACCATTCTTTAAATAAAATGGATTGAAAAAATTTAAAAAATTATTTCGTTTAACGTAATGTGGCAAATAATTTGGGACGGAGGGAGTATGTTGACCTACATGCTTTGATTCATATCTAATGTCATCTTAAATACTGATGGACGTACAATTATATTTTGGCTATGTAGTTAAATATATGTAAAGACGTGAATGATGCAGAAAGAATTTATCCCTTCCATTATGCTGAAATGTAATATCTTCGAACCCATTGATTTATGTGACTTGGGAAGTGCATGGTCATGCCTAGATAAATCAATATATGTGATATTAATGTGATCTGAATCCCAGAAATTAATCAGAAAATTACTAAACAAAGAATTTAACTGTAATAAGGTTACACGTCCATACCTTGTGTTAAATTAAGATATTAGTGATAAAAGGATAAGAGTTGTACAAATGACATGTGTCGTTGGAGGTATTGTTGCAATGAATTTTATCTTTATAACTTGGGTAGCGATAATGTTCCACTAGATGCCGCTAATTGCTTATAGTATTAATTGTCAATTAATATTATTGTCAATGTTATGAATACCTAAAAGAGTCACACACATAGAATAATTGAACGGAGTAAAATATTAAATGGGAATGATATAAACACATATTGACATTTTAATCATGTGATAATTAAGTTTGTCAAACATTATTTGTGCACATAGAATTATATATATATATATATATATATATATATATATATATATATATATATATATATATATATATATATATATATATATATATAGACACACACACACATACATCTACATACATACATGTTACTTATACATCAGTTGCTTACACCAATTTGTTTCTAGTACCTACGGTGCCCCGTTTTTAAAAATGAAGATTCCTACCCCACCCCCTAAACCCGCCATCCCTGCCCCACCGATTCCCCCCACCCTAACCCCGCCTCCCGTCCCCTCCCTACCCTGCAAGTATACTACATGGCAATATACTAGCAGCGTATATTGGGGTGGGGGGTTAAGGGGGAGGATTAGGGGATAGGAACCGTCATTTTTACAAAAGGGCATCGTAGGTACTCAAGAATTGGTGTAAGCAACTGACACCAGTAGCATTGATGTCATTTAAAACTTTATATATATATATATATATATATATATATATTGTAACACCCAAACCCGCATAACCCAAACCCGTGAGACAGCGGACCGGTGTGCCACTGGATTGGTATCCGAATATACAACATTTTCAAAACAATTTAAAACAAACATTCTATCAATACATATAAAAATCCATCGGAGTAATTTAAAATAATGCAGAAGCCTTTTTAAAGTCAAACAACTTGGGATCTTGCCCGAAAACGTAATAAGCATTAAAGATAATTAAATAAAGCATAACTATAGATTAAAGAGACAGCCACGCCATCGTACATCTCCTCCTCAATGCCCTCCGGGATCGGCTCTAGGTTCATCTGTCTGATAACCTACGGACAGCAAAAAGGAAAACAACGCTATCCGCTCAGCATTGACGCTGAGTGGCACTCCATTGTAGCACAAGAATAAACATAATAATTCAATGATTAAGATCGCGCATATGTTTATCCTTTTAATAAAAATCAATTCAACTTTAAATTTGGTTCATTAGACGGTTGACCAATAGTCAACTTATTTTCTTTCTTTTCAAAACGATTTAGGTGTTAAGGGTTCCTCATTAACTCTTTGACCACCGGTCAACCCAATTTAGACTTTCACGAAAGTCAAACCACTTAACATTTATTGCCTATGACGGAGATAGCCTCAATCCGTAATACCGAAGATAGCCTCAATTCGGTGGAGGTAGGATCCCTCGGGCGATGGCCTCAAACCCAAGATCACAGACCCTCGTGCGCACGTCTTAACCTCACTGACCAGGCCCTGCAGCCGCCCGAGCAAGGGCCAGTTTCTATGTTCGACATAATAAACCAATTGATCCTAATTACTGATTAGAATTAATTAATTAACTTAATTAATTCAATAAAGTCTTGGATTTAACCATTAGGTCAAACCTACGTCAACAGAATATCCAGTCAAAGCCCACGTCAAACAGGACCTAACCCAAGTCAAAGTCAAACCTGTTCAGTCAATTCACAATCCTCAACAATTCAATTCAAATAATCAATTTAATTCAATTAACCAAATCTAGCCAAATTATAGCATAAACATATATAACGATCCGAACCATTAAATCTATTCTAATCGCTATTAACTTCATAGTACGAACCTGGATTACGCAGAAATCGAATCGATAGCTCGAACGGAAAACAAATCAACGAAATCAAACGAACAACGGGTCAAATTGAGCCAAAACACGAAATCGACCAATCAATCTGGCATGGAGATTAATCTGCCGGCGGTATCAATCTGGGGCAGCAGCTGGATGCGGCGACGGTGGCGGACGCCGGCGTACAGTGGCGGAGCGGCAACTCGACGGCGTACAGTGGCGGCGCTGCAACTCGACGGCGATGAGCAGCGACTGGCGGCGCTGCAACTCGACGGCGAGGGAAGACGCCGGTAGTGAAGGCGACGTCCAGCGTTCGGAGTGGCGGCGCTGCAACCCGACGGCGGTGGACGACCGACGCTGGAAGTGCAGGCGACGAACGGCAACACGACGAGGTGAACCGTCGGCGGCGGACCTCTGGCGAAGGAGAAGCAGCGGCGATTGGCTGGGGAAGGGCGACCGGCGATCGGAAATGAAGAAGAAGAAAGTGACGATGTGCGGTTCTCAGATCCGAACGGAAGAAGATAGGTTTAGGTTTTATTTAATGATCCCATTCCTAAAAGGATTGGGTTTCGGACCCAAAATACCTGATTAAATGGTCAAAACATGAGCTCCAAAACTCCGATTCGCGAGCCGTCTGAACCGACGCGATCACAAAAATATTTCCTACGAGATGACATAAAAGTTGGGCTTAGAATCCAAATTATAATTTTAACCCCTTTTTAGGCCCAATTCGTAATCAATTGCTCTAACAATTTAATTAATTCTTTTGGGCCAGATTTCGGGGTGTTACATTTCTCCCCCCTTAAAAAGAATTTCGTCCTCGAAATTACCTGAGTCATTGATCATCAAAGAGATGAGGGTACTGAGTTCGCATAGATTCTTCGGTCTCCCAGGTTGCTTCTTCCACTGCATGATTACGCCATAGTACCTTTACCAAAGGTGCTGTCTTATTTCTTAGTACTTTAGTTTCGCGCGCCAAGATCTTAACTGGCTCTTCTCCGTAAGACAAACTCTCATCGAGGGTTACAACATTGGTCGACAACACATGAGTCGGATCTGAACGGTATCTACGCAGCATGGAGACATGAAAGACGTCGTGAATCCTGTTCAACTCTGGTGGCAACTCTAGCCTGTAAGCAACAGGTCCTATTCACTCCAGAATGCGGTAGGGTCCAATGAATCTAGGGCTAAGCTTCCCTTTCTTCCCGAACCGTAGGACCTTCTTCCAAGGTGAAACCTTCAAGAATACCATGTCACCAACATTGTACTCTATGTCTCGTCTCTTTAAGTCTGCATAAGATTTCTGTCTGTTCGAAGCGGCGCGGAGTCGGTCTCTGATCACACGAACCTTCTCCTCGGTATCCTGCACAATATCTGGTCCCTCGAGCTTACGCTCGCTAAGCTCTGTCCAACAAATCGGGGTTCGGCACTTTCTACCGTAGAGTGCCTCATACGGAGCCATCTGAATACTCGCTTGGTAACTGTTATTATATGCAAACTCCATCAACGGAAGGTAACACTCCCAATCTTCTCCAAAGTCGATCACACAAGCTCGCATCATATCCTCGACAATCTGTATCACCCTCTTAGACTGGCCATCGGTCTGAGTGTGAAATGCCGTACTAAGGTTCAAAGCTGTGCCAAAAGCCTTCTGAAGTCCTCTCCAGAACATCGAAGTGAACCGGGGATCTCTATCAGATATGATTGACAGCGGTGCACCGTGCAACCGAACAATCTCTCTAACGTATAAGTCTGCCAATTTGTCCAAGGAGGAGTCACGTCTGACGAGTAGAAAATGAGCGGACTTTGTCAACCTGTCAACAATGACCCAGATGGCGTCATTCTTTCGTGAAGATCGTGGCAATCCGATCACAAAGTCCATAGTGATCCTTTCCCACTTCCATTCCGGAATGGTAGGAGGGTGCAGCAACCCTGTTGGAACCTGGTGCTCAGCCTTGACTTGCTGACAAGTCAAACAGCGCGCAGTGAACTCGGAGATTTCCTTTTTCATAGCTGGCCACCAATAGGATTTCTTCAAATCCTGATACATCTTGTTACTACCCGGGTGCATAGTGTATACGGTTCCGTGAGCCTCGCGCAACAAGCGATCCCTCACTCCACCGCGGGGCACCACTAGGCGTTCACGATAGTACAAGACTCCGTCATCGCGAATTGCAAACTCGGGCCTCTTTCCTGTAGGAACTAACTCTCGAGTCTTCTGACAAAACTCATCATCTCTCTGTGCTGTACGGATCTCCTGCTCTAACGGAGACTGAAGCTGTAGCTCGGCTAACGATTTTCTGCTCAAAGCATCGGCCACGATGTTAGCCTTGCCCGGGTGATACTCAATGACTAAATCGTAATCCTTGAT